GCCCTGCCACCCAGACCCACGGAGCCTGCCCAGAGCCAGCGGGCCGACAGGCTTTGCCCTCACTCGGGCCCTCCTGCCGACCCGAGGGCCTGGCGCCTCCAGGGTGCAGTGATGGGAGCCTGGTGGGCAGAGCAGCAGATGCCCCGGGGCCAGAGGGCACCAGAGGGGCTAGTGTCCGGTGTGGAGGACCCACCCGCCCTGAGGCCTGGCCCTCGGCCACAGGAACCTCTCCAGGGACCTCCCATCCTCCCAGCACGGCCAGCTCACTGCCCGGGCCTGTGCCTGCACCTGTGCCTGTGCGTGTGCGTGTGCGCCTCACCCTCCCTGGGGCTCTCGGGAGCAGGGACCACATGCCCCTGTGTCTCCTGCACCCAGCAGGGGACAGGCCCACAGCAGGTGCTCGCTGCGTGCAGGGTGCCGAACTGGTGAGAGAGCGAAGGAGTGAGTGAGTGAACAAATGAATGAGCGAGCGAGCGGGAAACGAGGGTGTGGAGGGCCCAGCGGGCTGGGCTCAGGCCTGGTGCCAGCGCTGTGGTTCCCAGCCCTGGGCCCTGCTCACAGCCAGGCTCTGAGTACCCGGGGGCCGGCTGTGCCCTGGAGCAGAGGTGGCCGGGCCCAGAATTGACATGGGCCCTGAACACGCAGGTCTGGACGACACCTCCTTTGCCCACCCAGGACCCCAGGGGCTGAAGGACTCCCCACAGCCAGGTGAGGATCAAAGCTCTGCCACAAGGTGGCTGTGGTCTGGGCTTTCCACGAGGGACATCTAACCACAGGGACCTGGGGAGACCAGCTTGTGCTGGGGGTCACTGGGGGACGGGGCTGCTGGCTGACACCCAGACCCCCCACAGCAGCAGCTGGCTCTCCCGTGAGGCTCAGTGGGCCTGGGACTTGGGAGGCCGCGAGCATGGGCTCCCCAGGGGCCCTGCCGGCCAGGGGACCCAGAACCCCGAGACCCACCGGCTCCCTCCACAGCGCCCGGCAGGGGCTGGTGCTCCACATGGGGGACCGGCCACTTCTCCACCTTCGACGGCCACATGTATGACTTCGAGGGGACCTGCAACTACATCTTTGCGGCCATCTGCAAGGACGCCTCCTCTCCCACCTTCAGCGTCCAGCTGCGGCGAGGGCCCGGCGGGGACATCTCCCGGGTCATCGTGGAGCTGGGGGCCTCAGTGGTCACGGTGCAGCAGGGAGCCATCTCCATCAAGGATGTGGGGTCGGTCAGGGACCAGGGCCATGGCCGGGGGTTGGGGGGAGGGTTCCGGGGATGAGGGAATGGCCAGGGCGAGGGCAGCCGCTGACTGCTCCCCCTGCAGGGCCGTCAGCCTGCCCTACACCAGCAACGGGCTGCAGATCACCCCCTTCGGCCAGAGCGTGCGGCTGGTGGCCAAGCAGCTGGAGCTGGAGCTGGTGGTGGTGTGGGGCCCCGGCGCCCACCTCATGGTGAGGACACAGTGGGGGCTGCACCTGAGGCAGGAGTTGGTGGGCAGAGCTGGGGGCTGCCCCCGGAGGGGGAGGTCCTGACCGGTCCCCCAGCTCCTCAGCTTGGCGGACTCCGGCCAGGAGCCCGGATGGGCCTGGGCTTTGCTGGAGGCTCAGTTTCCCCACTTGAAGATGAGGACCATCCAGCAAGAAAAGAGGTCCCCGGGGAGGGAGGGCGGTCACAACCCATACGGTGAGGGTGCCCGGCTCCTGGAGCAGGCATCCGCGGTCTCTGCATCTAGGCGAGGGGTCCCCGGCCTAGGGAGCCCCGGCCCGCCCTGCTCACCCCGGGTGCCAACCGCCCGCCCTCACCCACAGGTCCTGGTGGAGGACAGGCACATGGGCAGGATGTGCGGGCTCTGCGGGAACTTTGACGGCGAAAAGACCAATGAGTTTCTGAGCGAGGACG